TATTTAATCACTAGCTCTTATTACATCCACAGAATTCTTATTTTATAGGACTGTTAAAGGTGGCAGAGCGGATTTTGGTTCATAAAAACAATCGTCTGAAAAATATACCTATAAATGTATCTATTGACGAAGATCTAAAGACACTTCCCTATGACTTATCATATTTCTCCCTGCGTTAAATCCCATAAATGATGACAAGTTATTTTTACTAGTAAAACAGATCTGCTGACGAAGTATTGAATAACAATAAAATGCACTTTGTGTATATTTCAAAATAATAGTTTTATGATTCTTTATTATATTAGGTTCGATAACAGTCACGTATAATATAATAATAGTGAAGCAATTTTTGTGTGCTAATGATAACAATAAAAATATAACTCGTAACAAAATATGTTGTTCCATAAAGCTAACTTCAAAATATAAGTTGGTCATGAATTATGTACTACTTCTCTTGATTTTCACTTAACATTAAATGTTCTTTAAAATGTTTACTCAGTATGATATACTAATACTTCTAGGATAATATTATAATATATGAAATTTATAGTCTGTTTAAAAAATATGTGCTGACTTATGAATCCCATAAATCCGTGACAAATGAATCAACGTTAGTAAGCAAAAAAAGGTTATTTTTGAGCAACGTGTAACAACTACTTGAACTGATTTATGTTAAGAGTTATTTATATGGCAATAAAATTTGTTAGTCCCTCACGGCACGTTCGCTTCCTTCATATTTCATGAGCCAGCTCAACTCCTGTTATTTTGTGTTACTGCGGAACAGCTGATATTGTGAAATATTCAACACCGTGTGCAAACTTACAAGTTTTACGGTACTAGTTCATGTGCTCGATTAATAATTCGATATTCGATTTTTAACTAGCTGGAAATTGATTTTATATTAAATTTATCGCATAACATGTACATTTAGTACCTACTTATATAGAAAATAACTATTACAACTTCTTGTATAGTTATTTTTCTCAATTGGGTGTTTTTCTCAGGATAGAATCCGAAACGAAGATATTGTCTAGGTAACTAAGACAGCCGATATAGCTCAGAGGATTAATAAGCTTAAGTTGCTGAGTGCAGGCCACATATGCCGCAGAATGGATAGTAATTGGGGCAAATGGTTCTAAAGTGAAGACCGGATCTAGTAAACTAAGTGAATGAGGCCTTGTACCTAATTGGATAATGCTGAGTAAGTTGAGGGAGGATATATTGGAGCAGTAACATTAGATATCGACTCAGAAACCATATCCAGAGGTGGAGTGATTACAGCTTATACGAGGGGAGGTCAAAAAGTTCGCGGAATGGAGGGGATGGAGGGGGTTGATTTACTCGTCCAGGTAGTAACTTGTTCAACACTTCATTAATAGTATATATACCAAGTTTGAACCAAATCGGGTCATTAACTTTTGAGTTATTGACCTGCAAACAAGTGAATCGGGAAGAAGTCAGTGAGTATGGAGAAAATTGAACACCGCGCCGTTATTAAGTTCCTCACCAAGCAAGGAAAATCCGCTCAGACGATTTTTGAAGAGCTGTTATCAGTTTACGCGGACTTTGCCCCTGGTAAAACCATGGTTTACAAGTGGCATGGACTTTTTAAACAAGGGAGAGAGTCCATTGAAGATGACCCCCGCTCCGGACGACCGATTGAGGCCACCACACCGGAAATCGTAGCAAAAGTAGAAAAACTTATATTGGAAGATGGCCGGTTGAAGAAAAAACAACTTGCAGCAATGGTTGGAGTATCCGAAACCAGCATTTTAAATATCCTACATCATTATCTTGGGATGACTAAGGTCAGTGCAAGATGGGTTCCGAGAATGCTCACGCCACTTCAAAAGAGCGAGCGTGTCGAGTGTTCTCGCCAGTTTTTGAAACTCTGTGGGGAGAATAAGGATGAAGTTATGGACCGGATTGTTACTGGTGATGAAACCTGGGTTCATCACTATGAACCTGAATCGAAGCAAGAATCGATGCAGTGGCATAAAAAAGGTACAGCTCCTCCAAAGAAGTTTAAAGTGTCACAATCGGCCGGAAAGATCATGGCTACTGTCTTTTGGGATACAGAAGGTATTTTGCTGATCGATTATAAAGATCGTGGTGTGACTATAACGGGACAGTACTACGCTTCTTTATTAGATAGATTGAAAGAAGCTATCAAGGAAAAAAGAAGAGGAAAGCTGTCAAAAGGTGTGCTCCTTTTGCACGACAACGCAACAGTCCACACGTGTCATGTTGCGACGGCTGCCATTCACCGATGCGGATTCGAAAAATTAAACCACCCACCTTACAGTCCAGACTTAGCCCCTAGCGACTATTATTTGTTTCCAAAAATGAAAAAAGAGCTGCGTGGAAAAAAATTTGGCGATGATCAAGAAGTCAAGTCCGCAATGTCCTAATTTGATAGCTAGCTAGATAGCTAAGGTTAAGGGAGAATATATTGAAAAGGAAAAATAGTTTCGTGTTAAATTTTAACCCCCTTCCCGCTCATTCCGCGAACTTTTTGACCTCCCCTCGTAATATGCCTAAGTATTTCAATTCGGTAAAATATGAGTAAATTTCAATAACCTTGTGTCTTTGAAAAGATTTATTCCAACCACAGCTGATGCAACACCAAGCCCCTGCTACGTTTAAAATTTTCTAAGAATAAAACAAATGAAACTTCGTAGTTACTACTGCCCCTGTGAAATTTACTTCAAATATATAGATATAGTTTAAATAATTTAAGACTGAACATAAAAATAAATTTTCGACCCAAGAGGGCATAGTGACAAACCTTGACAATTATTTGGTATTTGTTTAATTGGAGGTCAACTTATGAGGAAAAACTTTCCCTACAATAAGTCCATACATGTTACTTTATTGATGACAGCATACCCTTATACCGGGGTAGAAGTATTGATACTTTTTGGGCTCTTCATAAACTTTTTTTACTTTTTCCAGAAAATGTGGAGGTTCGTTAGCTTGATAAGGACTCTGTAGACGAAAACCAGGCGAATTTTAACATCTTGCAAACCAGCTTAATTAGAATAGAAGTATAACTTAGACAATCTGTATACCCTATGAAAAATTTGTCAGAATCGAATAAGGATGTTCATTTAGTTTTTAAAAAATATACCTAGATTAAACAGTACAGAATTATTATAACCACTTAGTTACCACGTTCCTCAAGACAACTAATAAAAACTCGGGAAAAAGAAGAGAGAACAATTGATGTTTGTTATTCTTCGGAAAACAGAAGATTAATGTAATGGGAAAACCCAACTGGTCTGAGTAATAAACCCTTAGTACTAACAATTTTATCTACGTAGTCTTTTCATACATTTTTTTTACATAGACATGTGACAATTTACCATTAAATATTACCGACGAGTATTCTAAAGTACTGCCATTAATTAATAAATTATGTACAAACTTCTTGAATAAAGCAAAACCAATATTAACTTAGTCCACTATTGTGACCGACATGTTTGCAATATTTGATTCAATTATGGGTTGAAAGTCAAACTGTGGGTAAATGCCACATCGGCCGTTATACACAATAAAAGGCTATTCTATAAATACAATAGTAAAGAAGGATAATTGTAATTCAGATTTCATGAATATAGTAAGAATTGCAGCAATCCTGGTTCTACCTGATATAATATAAAGGAACGTTAAAATTTTAAAACCCAAATTTAAAGAGCAAGTTGTAGATTTTGCGCTGAATAGTGAATTGTAATTTGTATGTTTCTTCGCTGACTCCACGAAATAGTCATATTAGTTTTTCCCTCTACGACAGTTTATTTTTTGTGATAATTTTCTAGATTTGAATAATGCTTCATAAAATTTAAATTAAAATAATAAATACACTGTGCATAATGATAATGGAGCTTACGGCTCCTTAAGAAACCAATATTCCCAATGACCATACCATCAAGGTCAATAAAAATTACGAGCTCACTAACGAATTCGCTAAGTACATATAGGTTCATTGTAAATTGTAGATTTGGGTAGGTAGTTAATAGGTAAACTTGTGAAATTGGATATAATAAAAACAATTCCATCTTTATATTAAACGCGCAAACTATAAAACCTTTACAACCGTTCAGTCCTACGTGTCTCTCTATATTCACGATAGATGGCGCTAAAGTAAAAAAAGTAGATAAAGGAAATGCAGAAAATTGTTAATGTTATACATTTTTACAATAATTCTCTTCACATATTGTGTAATAAAACAAATGAAATCAATAAATTTTTGCCAATCGAAGCGTTATTTAAACACTTATTTCCCTAAAAAAAGGCTTAATGTATTTTGCATTTGTTTTGTAATATTTTTAAACAAGCGCCATTTACCTGCCTGTATAAAAGGAAGAAACACCACTTATAAAATAATGGATCATTTACCATTAGACAAAGCCAGATATATGGAGTTCATAAATGAATGTAACTAATTAATTTTAGGCTTACTTATTCTAACAATACATTTATAAACAATGAAAATCGAAAAATTTGAGACCTAAATTGGATAATGGATTTCCTATGCAACTTTAAAGCGAGTAGGTGAGACGTGGGGACACCACAAAGCTATAATTTATCTCCAAAATCTGTCTAGTTACTTGCAGCATCAAAGCATAAGTCATACTGTGTATGAAGTCTTGCAACAGAGCCTATATCTTAATAATAATTGGATTACATTTCTAAAGTTTTAAAACAAATAACATTTCTATCTGTTGTTTATTCTAAAATCTACAACACAAACTTGGGCAAAATTGTAAGATTATAAGTTGTAGTCATATTTCAAGGCCTCTTAAGTAGATTATATTTTTATGTCCTAAAATATAAATTTATCATTACTTAGAAAGCTTCAATATGTAATATACTTTTCAGTAAATTCTCATAGTGTTTTTGTAACATTTTAAACAGCTGAAGAAATAAAATCAAGTAAATGTAAATATTATTATTACTTTTTACATTCTAAACTAACTAAAGACATAAATATAGATATTTTAAACTTCGTCTATCAATTTAAATCTGTTATGCTGTGGTTCCGGTATGACATTGAAATATTTCTTGAATATGGTCTGTTGTTCCCGACCACCGTATATTCTTTTCACCCAGGTGTGGTCCCAGTTTGGTTCAAACTTCTCACATGTCACCACAACCTTGCCTGGTGTGATTGCAAACAGTGTTCCATTTCTACCCATTCCTACCTGAAATAATAAGAATAATAAAAAATATTAAAAACCAGTGTGCTTTAGACCACATGACTGAAGTAAAACTTCTTTCGCTCCATCTATATGTAGTATGTATATGCATATGTTTATATATGTATAATACAGACATGTATATATACTCATATTAATTTTGTACAAATATTTGAATTCAACGTCAGTGGTGGCCTAGTGGTTAAGGGGCCTGCCTCTTGTTGCCGAGGGTGCGGGTTCGATCCTGGCAAGTACCAGTGCGATTTTTCGGAGTCATATGTACTTTCTGAGACTATATAGACACCAATAACATTCGATGAAGGAAAACATTGTGAGGAAACCTGGACTTATAGTTTCACAATCATAAGTTTGAAATCACCAAACCGTGTTGAGCAAGCGTGGTGATTAATGCTCAAACCTTCTCCATGTGAGAAAGAGGCCTTTGCTCAGCAGTGGGCTTCTGATAGGCTGATGACATTTGAATTCATTATGAGTTATGGAAGATAAATTAATATTTTTAAATAGATATTGCTTTTTATTTACTAATTTCATTATATCCATCATTGGATACATCAGTAAGTACTGTGGTTGATTGTAAGACTGAAAAAATAGGCATATGATATGAGAAATAAGATACATATGTTTTTGAATCAAGATTAGGAAGATATGCGGAGGCACTAAAAATGAACTACTGACTGAGATATAAATATTATTCACTGGCTTTGAAAGGAAGTGAGAAAGAAAATTTGAGCTGCACTGCTCTCTCCCCTGACCTTATAGTAATATACAAACCATAACATGTTCTCTATCTACCTTCACTAACTTATATTTCCCTCTCACTTTCGTTCACCTCACCCGATCACACTTTTCGTAACGCTTTTGTCACACATTCACCAGCTCACTCCCAAGTCAAACATGTGTATAGATTAACTTCAAAAATCATATTTCTCATAACTAGACTGAATCTACTCTTCAAATCATATAAGAAAACAGAGTTTTTTTACGATAACTTACATTTAAACCAGGATGAAATCTAGAAGTGAGTTGAGTAGCTAACATATGACCACTCTGAACAAAATGACCATCCTGAACTTTCCAACCTCTATGCTTCGGCTTCACTTTACAATTGGTGTTCTTTGTACTGCCTCCAGTCTTTTTACTAGCATATCGCAAAATTTCTAAAACAAATATGAGGGATACAGTTACACATTGATTTATTTCACTGAAGAATTAAATAGCACTTGATTTTGTATACCTATTACGGGTTTATTAGTTTTTTTCGCGGTTAAAAGGAAATTCAACGACATTTTGGAATATACTTTGAATTCGTATATACAAATGATTAGCAAATCAACTTCATAACCTAATCTTTAAAGTTTTGACAACAAATGTCATTTTTTTTTTTGGTTATGTTCGTTCCGTTCAGAACAAGGCAAAGAAAACAAAGCCCATACCGCCATGTCTTTTGTATTTTGTAACTTTAATTATTTTTAAATGTCTTAATATCCCTTTTTATTCTTGACTCAAGTTTTTATATCAGGCCTAAGCCATGTCTTCATTTAATTTTCTTCTTAAATCATTTTTTTTATTTTAAGACCGAAGCCATGTCTTTTATTAATTTTTTTTGCCAAATTCTTGTTTTTTTTTTTTACATTCCGTCTTTTTTCAATGTCAAGTCCTTGTAATGTCATTTTTAGTACAATTCATTTGTCACAATCGATAAAACGGTCAAATTCTGAAAATAGCTGAAAAACAAATATCTTAAACAAAACGAAAAAAATAGTATTATATACATATAAAAAATTAGATATAAAAATTAGATTAGAGCGCGGGATATCTTCAGCAGTTTTAAAATTACTTAAAAATTGGTCTACAAGGACTATCCTTTGAATACTAAACTGTAGACAATCAAAAAATATATGTTCGAGGGTTTCATCAGCACTATTGCAATATCTACAAATTGAAGAGTCAAAAAAGGTGAGCACCAAAACTACAATGTCCCAGACGCAAACAACAGATTGTGGTATAATACTTTCTATGGCTATAGTCACTACCCCGGGTAAACCAGGGGGAAGAGACCTTTTTCTTTATTGTAGCGAACCATTTTCCTTTTACCTTTACCACCTGATGGCATAAGTTGTAAAATTCTTTCTGTAACTTGAGTTTGAAGAGGGATAGAGCGCCTGTATAAGGAATTCGGAAATTTAAAAAGCTGTGACTTAATTGATTGTGTTTAGCTAATAGTTATGTATAGCTAAACACTAATTTTGATTCATATAACCCAGAGTAACAAGGCCATATATACCATGCTAGAATATATATTATGTTTATTAAAAATTTGTTCTGATTCAGAAAAACCTTGAAACAATTTGAACAAATATTGGCAGTCCTGTTAATAGTGTCGAGCAGTTTAACAAGAAGTGGATGGTTACTAATGGAGAGCTACCTTGCAAAAAATTTTGATTGTAAGTATTTAAACCTAAGTGCTAATGGAGGTATATTACATTCCACCTGCATTGACACTATGGGAGTAGTTCGCATGGCACCCATTATAATACGCAAACATTTATTTTGTATATTTTCTAATTTATCTACTATAGTTCCTACCTATGCAAAACAAAAAAAAGCATATTCAAAATGACTCCATACTAATGATTTAAACAATGTTAATAGAATCTTTGGATCAGCCCCCCAATATGTGCCTGTTAAAGATTTTAAAACATTACAAGCATTTAAAGCTCGAGATTCTAGAGTTTCAGCATACTTATTCCATTTAGAATTGTTTGTACAAATAACACCTAAAAACTTTACAGATCTCTCTAGAGATATTACATTATTATTGAACAAAATATTTACATTCCCATTTCTAATTCCATTTTTTGAAAAGACAACAACTTTTCTTTTTTCATTGCTGACCTCCAGCCCAAGGCCATCAAAATAGTTCTTTAGTCTTTGGAGAGCAACATTGAGGACTGATTGTACACATAATAAATTAGTATCAGAGCAATAAACAACTAAATCATCTGCAAACTGCAGATTAGATACTTCACACCCTAAAGTTAAATTTAGCTGATGAATGAATAGGATAAAAAGCAATGGGCTCAATACACCACCCTATGATACACCCCTACAAGAATATCTTGGACCAAAAAACTGATTGTTAACCTTAACAAACACCTTTCTGTAGTTCAAAAAAATAAAAATCCAATTTACATCTTTTCCAGGTACCTGCAGTAATAATGATGTTGAGGATAATTTGTTCAGATCTACATTATTGAAAGCCCCTACAATGTCAAGAAAAACACCGACTAGTACTTTATTATCGGAACGAGCATCGTGGATATCCAGACAGAAATGACGTAGACTCTCACAAGCAGAACGGCCACAACGAAAGCCAAACTGATTGTAAGGTAAAAGATTATTACTTTCTATGTGAAAAATTAATCTCTGTTTTATTATGTAACTAGTAAACCCGGCGAACTCCGTTTCGCCACCAGAAGGCTTTTATATAAGATTTCGTTTGGTGATTAAAAGATGAAGATTTTTTTTTTGTTTTATATTTGAAAAGGAAAATTTTTATTTCATTTCACGACAGTAATGAATTCATTTCGATTACAAAAATGAAGTGTTGTTTAGTTGAACTTCTTTAAGTAAATGAAAGTGAATCCAAAGTAGATACCGAATCGAAGCGCGTTATACGTGTCCGCAAATTATTCGTTTCATTGAAGTGGTCCTTTGTAAACCACATTTTTTGTTTTTCGGTCTAACTTTAACACAAATAAAGCGGATGATTTCCAAACTCTTGAACACGCAAAATATGACTGCCCATGTGAAAAACAATGTTTTTCTAAATTTCCAACGACCTTTCCAACGAATGCAAAACCGTGGAAATTGGTTCGTTCGTTCTGAAGTTATAGCGTCTGGATGGAAAACCGGACTTATTTTTATATAGTAGATCTCTTACAAATATCTAATTGTCATCATACGTCAATTGCATAGCTGTCAGTTGTGTTTCGTTATTCCACTTTTTATAGTGACTGACGTTTCATGTCAAGTCCCACGGGAATGCTGTGGAACGGGATAAAAGTATCCTATTGCAATTTCCTGGCTTTAAACTATCTCCCTGCCAATTTTCAGCTAAATCGGTTCAGCCGTTCTTGAGTTATAAGTGGAGTAAGTAACACGACTTTTATATACAGGGTGACTGGTGAATTACTATCGATACGTGAGTACGTGATATTTGACGATCATATATGACAAGATAAAAATTAATATAACATAAATATTAATAAACTTCTAAGTAAAGTTAACCAAAAGTTATGTAATTAATTACGCATCGTGTGAACACCCTACAGATTAGGTATACACACACACACACACACACACACACGAAGCGGCGGCGTAGTGTTGTGTCAGCACGCCGCCGCACGTGTCCACACTTGGAACACTTGGAACGTGTCCACACTTTGTTTATTTATACGGAAATTTGGTCAAAAATTAAGTACCTATTTATTTTACATAATTCGAATGAGAATCATGTACCGAGTATTCTCCTTAAATATTGATAGTAATTCACCAGTCACCCTGTATATTATATAATAGATTGTTCGAAATTTTTTCCAACACATGAACTCAGTGTAATAGGACGATAAGAATCAGCCAAACTAAAGTCTTAGCCAGGTTTTAATATTGGTACCAAACAGTCAGTTTTCCAGTCCTCTGGGATAATAGAAGACGACCATAAACTATTTAATAAATTTAAAAAAATAGATAGAGTTTGAACATTTAAAAATTTTAAACATTCTGTAGGAAAGCCAATCCAGGCCACATGAAGAATCTTTTCTTGAGACTAAAGCAGATTTTAACTCTTGCATAGTAAAATAACCAATCACTGGCGGCTGTACCTTAAGTGCACTCGTGCGCTGAACCACCAATACAAAAGATTTAAAAATTACAAAATATTACTTCATCTTTATTTTTAAGTTACCATTTTAATATTTATTTTAAAAACATATAAAAACGTATAAAAATTGAATTTCCTAATTATGGTCAAAAAGTTTGCGCGCTTTACTAAACTAATATCTCGTGCGCTTCGGCGAGTGCACGAGGACTGCTAATACATCTTGTATGAGATACGCATTAATACGCCTGACTCGTGAAACAAAAGATAGTTCATAGAAATGTACCGAGTAATGAGACGGTTCTCGAGCGCCGCACGAGCGGCCGAAGATTACCGAGAGCACCCGATGTATGACGAATTTAGCCATGATTGACATCTCGTTATGTTTTGTTGCATTTTCTAATTTTAATATTTTAGTAAAGTGCACCACCGGTTCGATTACCCACCGGCCGCCACTGCAACCAATCATGTATGAATTATCATTATTTACACCGAGAACATTATCTATATTTATCTGTTGTGAAACAGTATCCGGTGTGTATTTATATAAAAAATTTTGAACCCAATTGAGGTCAGAAAATAAGTTAGAACTCGGAAAGCTTTTTTAGAATGTTCTTATTTTAGTCCAAATGCGATTTATAGATGTCAAACGATTTATTGATGAGCAGAATTCAGACCAACTTTTACAACATTCTTCTTTTAAAGTGCATTTTTTAAAGGCTTGTGCGCGTTTGAAATTAATGTAATTTTTACTATTAAGACTAGTTTTGAAATTAATGTAGGCGTTCTTGCAGTCTTCTACTACTTTTGAACATTTATCATTCCACCAAGGTACTTGACACCTTTTTCTAGGACGGTTATTATTACTATCAGTTGTGTTATGGTTTAAGCTGGGCCCGGAGAATTTGATTGCCAATAGAATAATTGCACAAAACTTTCTGTATGTCAAGGAGATCACTATTGTCAACTTTAAAGTTCATTAACATTTTATTAACAATTTGTTCATAACTTTCCCAATTTACTAATTTCAGATTGCTGTGAAAGGGAATGTGTTGTTCAAGGGAATAGAGGGTTCATGTTGATCTCTTACGAGAGTAAATTTTGTGATAGTTGGCAGATGATAACTGCCTAAAGGGTCCTGATGAACTTGCCAGTCACAAGAAAGAAATAAAGAAGAAGACACCATAGTTAAATCTACACTGTTTGGTTTCCAAATATGAGAGCCTATAGTTGTTGGTTGACCATTATTGAAAAGTATTAAGTCATGATCATCAATGGAATCCATAATAGCTTTGCCCCGAGAATCTATGCGACTGCAACCCCAAAAGGTATGATGGGCGTTAAAATCGCCTGCAATTATCAACGGTTTTGGAATACTGTACAATAAACGATCGAACTTCGCCTTTT